CTAGTGATCCAGAATCACTTTGAATAACAGAAGGATACAGGCACTTTAGCAATTAATATCAGTCTAAGGCAGACATTAAAAATATACTAGATGAGACATCATACAAGTGCATATTCCTCTACAGTGACATAGACAAATACCTCTGATGAAGCTATCTGTATCCTGATGTCTTAAAGAAGATACTATCACGCTAATGTTCTGTGGGCTTAATTTAATAAAATACCACAAGAAACCTCCACAGAGATCACAGCAGCATTGCTTAATTTCAGCATTTAAAGCATCTAAATTTTATTCAATGGACTATTATGGCACTTGTATATAAAACACAAATAGCAAACACATAGTAATCTCCTTTCCCTCCAAACCTCTCCCAAATTTTACCAGAAATATAATGTTTTTCTGCAGGTCTCCAATTATACTAGAATACAATATCCTTGTTCAGCAATAACACAGGTATTCTTTTGCCCAATTCAGTCTGCCTTTGAAAGGAAACAAATTCTTTTCTATATAACCTCCACTACACAAAATACAAGATTTCCATATTCTCACATCAGTTATTACTTGCTTTACTGGGCAGCCTTAACTTGTATTTCCTCAATTATTCTTCAGCCTGTCTCCACAGTTGTATCACAGGAGACTAATATAGGAATGTTGCTCACTTTCAATTATATAATTAACACACTCATTTTGCAATATAAAGGGGTTGAGAATGACATGCAGTGGGCAGAGGCAGTGTTGGGAGAAGAGTGAAGCTTGCATATCTGCTCCAACCTCCAAATTGCATCCAGTGGAGTGATTTACAAGCAGTGTACCCCAGCACAGTTTTCTCTTGCTTCCTCAGCTAGTAAAATCAGTGCAAAGCTTTGCAGGACAGAACTCAGGGTATGATCATTAGGAGTGTCTATAGTACCAAACACACTGTTCAGGGGACAATTTTTTTTTTTTAAGCACTATCACAGCTGGAAAAAGAAAACGGAAAAACTGCTCTCTTACATATATGATTGTAGACATTCCTAGATTTATTTAAAAAAACCACCAAAAAACAAAACAACAAAAACCCTATGTTGTTAGTTTATACTCTCACCTTCACTGAACAGAAACTGAGAGGAGATGTATTGTTCCTGCTGCAGAGAGGCATATACATTCCCTCGGATCATTCTCTCAGCTGGGATCTCAGACCCCATTCTCTGATGCTGAACACACAATTCTCTTAACACTTCACAATAACTGGTCTAGAAATTCATTTGGCACATACTTATTACTTTTTACCATTTTAATTTATACACTTCTTCATCTTTACTTTGGAGTCATGTAGCCAACTGTGCTGAATCTGTTTTGTGAAAATGGTGATTTCCTTGTAATTAATACTTTTTATTAATAAAACACTCATGTGAGAAGTTACAGTATTGTATTATTCTTTCATGAAAAGGGACTGAATTTTCCTTCTATATATGGCTTTTTATTGCTCCTTGTCTTACGCTTCTGTAGTTCCACCCCACTGTATTATTTAGCCATATGTCTGGTTCCTCAAAAAATGCCAGGAGCAAATCCATGGCATCTGTTTGAGAGTTACTGCCCAAGTCATTCTTTAGGATTGAGGTTCACTGGTCGTTGCTGCCTACCTGGGGTCTGATAGTTCAGTGAGACCATCTGGCAGCCAGCGTTCCAGAAAATTTGAGGCATGTAATTACTGGAATCCACGCGGCCTCCCTTTGGGTATATCCGACTCATTTGTCGTTTATTATAACTGTAAAATTCATCAAGGAAAATGAAATAGAAACATCATAGAAATATATAGTCATATCCTGGTACCTTCATATTTCTTGCATTAATCTATTTCTTATTCTATGAGATAACTTCCCTTTTCCTTTATAGATGTGGAACACTGTAAATCTAAAAAAGTTACATTTGCTGTTTATTTGTAGCATTAGTAGAGAAGCGGTATAAGGAGGTAAAAGGATACTTCACAAACTCAATGGCATGGGTCTTCAAATACCCTAGTCCAACTGATTCATTGAAAGAGGACATATTATGGTGAATATTACGTTCTAGAAAGAAGAAACAAAACATTTTAAAACACATCTATAATGATGAATCAAAATTCAAAATCATGCACTATATGTAATAGCAGGATATAACAAATTCTGGTCTGTTTCCCCATTATCTGTCACTCATAGAATCAAATTATACTGAAGAGAAATTTCATAATACTTCTGACTTGCCTTTTTCTTTCACTTGCTGGATGAGCAACAACACTCATTTTTTGTTTAGGACAAAATTGTTATTCAAAGCCTGTGTAGTGTGGCTAGATAAGGCAAAACAACATGATAAATGGTCTAGTGTGCAATATAAAAGATTCAGCTAACTGCTGACCACTGTGACAATCACACTCCCCTTACTTCACCAAAAGATGAACTAAAAAAGGCAGTTTAGTTGGAAAGGCCTATAGAATACAATCAACCTCAACAGCTTCATACTCTTCCAGTAATTTAGTGACTCCATGTGGATGAGCAATGGAATCACATACTAACACTCAAGGAAACAAGAGATCCAAAAATATACTGATGATGGTCATTAAATAGTAAAAGTCTTACGCCATTTCTAAGCTCAGGAAGTACAGAGATTAAAAAACTACCTAGAATAAGCAAATACTTTTATTTCATTCAACCTTTTATGTTACCTTCTGCTACATCGAAACCTTGAAATTTTACAGGTTGAGCATAGTTGACCATTGTTGATAAATATGGATGTATATTGGTTGTGGCACCTACATATTTGTAAGATGCCATCCATGCTTGTTCATCTTCAACAGTTACTAAACCCTGGAAACACATTAAAAAGAATAATCACTCTTTGGGTGTGCAAGCACTAATGCTGTAATTTTCAAATGTGATACAAAATTACACCCAAATCTGCAGAAAGTTAAAGAACATCCAAATTAATACAAGAAAAGTGGACATTTAATGTCACAAATTAAGATTTATTTTCTTACTAATATATGGCACCAAACATTCTCAATGTCAGAGGATGCATGCAAGAGGACTGATGATAGAAAAGCTCCTAGGCAGCGAGTAAATACTACATGATGTTAGTAGGATAACTCTGGGATAACAGATAAATATTACAACAGACTGCACAATGGTGGGAGATAATGATCTATCTTTGTCAAAAAAATTCCTAACAAATTTGATTTAACATACATTTTCTGACAACAGCTGTGATGGGGTAATGCATATTTGGTATACTGAGTAGAACTTTCTCAACATCAAAATACAAAAAGGTTTAACTGCTATCTTTTCCAATAAAACAGACCAAAATATAGGGATTACAACCTTCATTGGATGAACCGATGTCACAAGACCAACAAGAGAGACAGTACCAAGCTCATATTCCTGACCACTTAAAATGATAATCTGACTCCATCATTCACATAAAGATGCACTATATTTATAACAGAACTTCAATAGTTTTCTACAAGTATCTAATCTGCTAGAAACCCACAACAGGAAGCACTTCTCATGTGGATCTACCTGTCCAACTTTCTCCTTTCCCTAAACCAGTCTTAAACACATTCTTTTCACTGAAAGAAAGGAAAGAAGAAGAAAGATCTCTGTCAATTTAAGAAAACTCTGCAAGGCTTACTGTTCATGGCATTTTTCCCACAAACATTTTTGCTTATTCTCCTACCAGTGAACTAGTTACCAAAAATCTAACCTCCTGCAGCCTGACAGTGAACTTCTGCAAGGAAGTACTAAGTATACTGAAAAATTCTCGCAGTAGAGCTTTTTATTTTCAGAATGCAACCCCTGTTTGTCAGAAAGTTCTCCTCCATTATTGTATCAGGAATTAGGGAGTAACAGGAAGCACCACAAAGTCCTTTCTCAGGCAGTAAGTCTTAGCATGTCTAAAAGCATTAAAGCATGGATGAAGAACACAGTTCACTGCAGCTACACTACTACAACTCATTTACTCAAGAAATGGTAAAGAAAATGTGAAACTACTTGCCAGTATTATGAGCATGTGCCTGTACCTGCCAAATACTGTGGACACATTTCAAAAAATGAATTCCATGTGAAGTGAAACAATTTATGCCTTGATAAGGCAATTATAGTCACAAGGAACGTCATTTTCTGACTACATAGAATAGCTGAGTTATCACAATGAGTCGAGGTGCACACAGTTTTATTTGCATTTTAGACTGAATTAAACTTCCAGTGGTCCATAAAGTCAGACCAATGCCATATTGCAGTGCTCAACCCAACTGCTTTTCAGGAATACACATACTAAGGGTTCACAGATCTGTTCCCTAAATAGGCCAAATGGTACATCCCTTTATTAGTAGAATAGAAGTATCTTTTTGTTACTAGGTCAGTACTTGTTAATAAATAAATTAAGGCCAAATATCTTCAAAGGAACTAGTCCTTTTCTGTGTCCTCATTTTAGGAAGGCAAATAATTCAGGAAGAACTGACCACCTATCTTCTAAAAACCAGGCTCCTTCAATGTGCCTCTTGCTGACTGCTCAGAATTGCTAATCATATTTTACTATCTTGATCCATAAATGTCAAAGTAATAAATCATAGTGAAAAGGAAGTCAAAGGGATTATGCATGCAATAGTGTCAAAGCACTAGTAACCTGCAGACTATAGCTGTATGACCACATTATTGACACACTAGCTTTAAGACAATGTTCTAAGACAATCTGCTGGTCATTGATTTTATCTTATTTACTTGCAGACTCATAATTTTTAGAGCAAATGGGCAATACTCTTCACAGTGTTCACAACTTCAAAACTATGAAATAGAAAGGAGTAAGGATGGAATGTTTCTTAAAGCCTATGGAAACAAAGGAATGTTTACAAAAGGACATGATCCTATTTGGGATTAGAGAAAACAATGGGGGAAAGTTGATCTCTCTAAGTTATTTATACTTCCTCACCCCTCAAGAAAAGAAGCAAAATCCACTTAGAAAACAACACAGACTGAAATGAAGTGTGGTTAGGAACAGGAGGAGCTTTAATGAGAGAAGAGAAGGAAGGAGAACAGCAGAAGGAGGTGGGAAGAGTCTTACAGAAGGGATTCCTGGGAGCAGATAAATGTAGAAGTCCCAAAGGAAAGCAAAAGGAGGAAAAAGAGAGAGGAAAACAAAGTGCAGTCAGGGTAACAGAAGAGGAAAAAAAAAAGAAGCAGGGATGATACATCTCAACACCGTTCAAAGAACTACTGTTTCCCAATGTGTGAAATTTGAGATTTAGATCAGACACTTCTAAGGAGGCAAAAGTTCTCCACTCCTCTCTGTCCACAAATTTTCTGGCAGCTCTAACCCCAATATAAAAGTACAGCAGAAGAAACCTTAGAGGAGAAAAGGAGGTAGAATCACTTTCAGAAATACTCTGTAGGTACAGTGAAACTGGGCATAAAATTGTTAAACCACTAAGAATGCATGGTAAGTAATGTGTATGTTATATATAAAGCAATAAAACAAACTACATAACATCCTATGTGTCACCTTTTTATTGTTTTCTTGCTCAGAATCTTCAACAGCCTAAGGGAAAAAAAATATATATACACATTACCCAAAGAAAAAGCAATAAAACACAGTAAGGAAAAAAAAAATCCTCAAAAAGTTAATGCATTTAGCAAAGTATACCCTTTTCCACCTTCCTGTGTGGCTCATCTGTCCCATACACTAGCAAAAATGTGCAGTTTCTTTCAAATCTGGATATACAAGATATGAAATTCAACAGCTGGCTAGCAATGGAAATAGGAGGGAGGGTGCCAGACAGTTAAGCATAAACCAGTGCTATCACTAGATGCTGGGGACAGGAAGTTTCAGAGAAGAATGAAAGAAGGACACATCCATACAACAGATAAGATCATCTGATGTGGATATGCAAACTGTCCAGGTTTTGAAAACTTAGGGGTTAAGGCTGCTACAAATTGTACTTTAAATATCCATATTTGGAAAATGCCTACCTCAAGATGTTATTTGCAATGGGACAGTGCTGTCTGTCCTCCATAACAAGCTGCCACTACTGAGAATCTTAGACAGATAAACATTGACTTGGCACTAAATGTACATTCCTAAACAATAAGGATCGAGTCATTGATTAGCAAAGAAGCAGAGACGTGACCCAAGGGCATATGCTGAGGATGAGTGACTAATCTAAAAACAAACCAACCAAGAAACCACAAAACCCCAAAACAGTCAGGTAGTTATGGACCAGCTGACTTAGTAAGTGAAACCTGCCCTAAGAGCAAAGAAGTCAAACAATACTTCATGGGAGAATTCACAGAAGTCCTGAAGAAGCAAAGATGTTGACTTGAAGAGATACCAAGAAGGCAGCTCTGATGTCTCCGTGATACTGCTAAAGACATACTGCCAAGGGCAGCCTGTGCTATGAGAGTTTTTCCATACCTATACTTCTATCTGGAGTAAGATCCAACAGTCGCCAGGCAGGACAGAAGTAGTGACAAAAGCACTTGAGTGACAGAGGAGCATGATCTGATAAGGTACCTTAGCACTTACATGTGGAGGTTTTTTTCTGTAGCAAACAGCAATAATGCCTTCAGTGCCAGAGCATCCTTAGTTTTGAACTTCAATATTCTATAACTAATTACTGTCAAGTAATATTTAAGTTACGGAGCACAGACCGATAAACTGTACTAAATAAGGTAAGAGTGGAATAAAGGGGACTCCTACCCTGTCTGCCAGATGGCTTTATTTTATTAATAAAAAATGACCTAGGGAATCCCTAAACAAAGACAGAAAAAAACATTTTTGAGTGAGGAAAGCTGATATTCCACCTCATATAAGGGCTCTGCAACTGAGATGCAAAGTAAAATATCAGAAGCAAGAGCAGGGAAACTGCTTGCTGTCTTTAATCAGTATTTTTGAGAAAATCCTCCACTTGTTGTATACTG